AAATGCTGTCCTTAGCAAAACTGGTCAATTGGCCCTGACCCAGCAAAGGCGTAGTCGCATTCCTAGCATTGCACACTGTGACCACTTCCATGGATTTCAGGTACAATAAATTGGAATTAAAAGAACACACGTAAGTATTTGCTCGAGTACTAAGCAGTCAGCGCTATCATGGTGCTTCTCCTGGGATAGCAGAGCTACAAGCCCCTTCCATCATGCCTAAACTTGAACTCAACTCTTTGGTGCCAAATGTATTTCATAAAAAGTGGTCACTTACTCTTGTTCGTACTGCCTTACATCTCTGGGTCAGTTGTTTATTGCAGCAAATCTCCATACTGTCAGCCCTATTTAACATTATTTCTTACAGCAATTAAGACACAGAGGTTTGCTGTATGGTCTTTGGTATGCTGGGTAGGTATTATAAAATATCAGTAATTTTTTTTTAAAACTCACTCTTGCTTTATAATTTATTTTGAAGTATGTCTTGCCTGTCTTTCTCAGATATTGTAATGGTATCTACTTGCTATCTGTCTAGACGATTCACTGTTATACGCTTAGTTTTGAGAAGAATTTTTAAAAACCTGCCAAGGATAGGCTCTGAGATGCTGCTCCCATAGTGTGGCGTTGCCTCAACAGCTCACAAAAGCATCCTGTTCCACCTGAAAGCAACAGGCAAGGTAGTGCTTACAGAAAATGATCTCTTAGTAGCTACATTTTTTCCTCCATAGCACTCAGTACTTTTTCAGCCACTTTAAAAGGGCCATTGTAATAAATTGATTGAGTTTGAAAGCTTGTCCCGTTTTACTATAACTTCTGTAAGTGATTCTGTTGTCTCTTACAATGTTGTTTATTACTTCCAGCTCTACTATAGATTCCTCTCTGAAATTCAGGAAAAGCCATAGTCTGTGTTCCTGAAGCAAGAGGTGGGGATGCTTGGTAGCACTCCAAGGGAAATTGCTGATGTTTCTGCAAACTTCCAATTTACTATTCAGAAAAATTAAATGAAATATTTTGCTCTGGAGCAGATTAACAAAAAAAAAACCCAGACTATTTTGCTGAGATGGCTTGAAGCATCTACTGAAACCATTGCTTAGTCAAAACATTGGAAAGACAAAAAAATTGATTCAGACTGAATCAAAAAATGGGAAAAGGGCAAAAAATTCAGGTGACCCCCAGAGTTTTGTTAGACCCAGAATGAAGCATTCATTTTGCTTTTCAGGTCTTGTAACCATTTTCAATGAGATTTTTAATTTGTGTCAATTTTGATATGAAAAATACTATTTTAGAATAAGTTGGGTTTTAAAATGTGCCAAAAATTTTTTTCAGTATTTCCCAACTGAAACACTTTAGTCCAAATATGTTGATTCAGATTTTTTGCCCTATTTTCTCCAATCTATTCACCAAATTCCATTTGGGTTTTTTTTGGTTTGCTTTTGGGGCTAGGATTTTTTGTGTGCGTCCTGAAATGACATTTTCAAAAAACTCCTTTGTATGTTTGTTTGCTTTCTTGTTTGGTTTTTTTTGTTTGAGCAATTCAGAATCTGTCAGAGTTTGGTAGTTCAAGCAAAGTCTCATCAAGCAGGGAGAGAAAATGCCATTCAGGTAAAAACTAGACTAGGACGTGTTCCACAGGTTTAGTAATAAATCATTATTTTTCCAAGAGCTCTTTGAGATATTAGCATCTCTGTATAAGCCTGAACTATTTCCTCAGGAAAAGGAAAATAGGGTGTTCTTTGACTGATCGTAATTTGTTTAATACTCATGAGACATTTGGGTTGCCACTTCTCTCTTTTTGTTTATTTGCTGCCAAACTTTCCCTTTGTTTTTCCCAGGTAGGTTAGGGAAGGAAAATGCTGCACTCATCAAAAGATGAGAAGTCCCACTGCCTGGGGCCAGATGTTCATAAAATATTCCTTTGATTATTTTTTTTTTTTTCTCTAGTCTCATCCTCCCCCAGCACAGCAGCTGAGAGTAAGTCCCTTTTTCCCTTATGTTCAGCTCTATGTCATCTTGAATTTAGTCTGAGATTTCAGTCAATTTGACTCTGAGGGAAGGGGCTCCTGAGGCAAATATTTCCCTTTCCTTGTTTCAGACACTTGCCTGCAAACTAAGTGAGCTGATTGGAGTTAGTTCATTTGTTATGTTTGCTTTTGGTAACAGAACAATATAGAAGTAAAACTGAAGTGCTTTTGCTTTGTTTTTGCACTAAATAACACTAATTAGGTAGATAGTATTAAATTCTCCTCTTAGTAGAAATCTCTTTTCTCTCTAATACTAATGAGTAAATATTTAAACTTGCTCTAAATATTCTCCAGTAGTTATTTTTACAGCAGGAGTAAATTAGAATTCCACAGTGCGAGAAGCCCTGGAACACAGGCTGTACAAAGGTGTTAAACCCAAGCCTGTAGGTGAATTAAAATAGAAATCACATTGAAATTAGTCTTGACGATGGAACATTAAAAGCTTGTGAGTATGTTCAATAGCCGTGATTGCATCATAATTTAATACATCCTTTCTCACATGTATTCCAGTTTGCCCACCCCATCTGCCTCTTTTACTCTCAGCTGGCTGCTGCCATGATAGCCCCTCAGGACAGCATAATCTCTTTAGCTGCAATGCCATAATCTGCTGCTAGCATAAGAGTGGAAGACAAAAAAATGTGCGAATACTGCACATATTAAAACATTTCCCCTTTCTCTCCTCCAACTGGAGGCTCAAAGAAATTAAGAAAAAAATGTTTTATTGTCTATAAATTATAAATACTATTACATTAGAGTAAACTGAATCTTACAATTAGTCTTTATTTTTCTTAATAAAGAATCTCCTCAGTTGTATTTCACTGTTGAAACAAAGCTGACAGTTCTTGCCAGCTGGAAAAAATCCCCTGCCGGAGAGGAGCTTATGCCACCCAGTTTATTGCTGCAGCGCAAGGAATCTGCTTCGCATTGATCTAGAATTTCAGACAATGCATAATGGCTCTCTTCGAAGCTAATGCACGCACACTACTCACTCCAAATAGGCTTGGGTTATGCTGAGAGAAGACAAACACGCTGGCAGAAATACGTTGTGGCACGTTGTGACAATACATCCCCCTCCAACGCAACAGCTGGAAGCAGAGAAGTTGACTGAAGATGAAAGGGGATCTCTCCAGTACAGGTTCCAGCTTCCTTGGGAACCAGATGGACTGAAATGGAAAACAGAACTAAAATAGGCCACAAAATTCACAGCCAGAAGAGGTTTTCTTTTTGTTCATTGCAGTGCCAGGTTTTACTAGAAAGAAATTTGCCTTCTCATAGAAACTGAAGATATGAATGACCTGGAACCCCCTTTGTTCTGTCCCAACCATTGTAGGATTGTTCCAGGTATATTTGCTAATCTTTGTGTAGTCTGGTTTTTAAAGACTCATGAAATAAAGCCGTTTATCTGCCATTTTTAGGTTATTTCACCACAAAGGGTTTAGGAGAATTTTTCTTAAGTATTCAGACTACGTTTCCTTTCTTATTCTCATTACTTTTAGTTTTATCATCCTAGACTCCCTCTGGCAGCTTTTCCCAGTGCCTGCTTTTTGCCATTTCATATTCATCTGTGTAGCTGTTCTATTTCTCTACAGTTGCTGTGATATTTTTTTATTTTTTTTTTGTAAGACCTCTTGTAACGTCACTTGCAGATGTCATTACTATTCCGTTCACTTCCCCCTTCCACTAATGAAGACGTAAAACAACACGGAACCTATCAGTGCTCTTACACGGCACTCCCTGTCAACCCGCTAGGCTGCTGTTTATCACCGCTTTTCCTTTATGGTCCTTCAGTTTGCGTTCATTCCCCATGACAGCGCTCTTATCTAAGTCTTTCCAAATTAATTTTTCAAGTAAAATTTTCTGAGACACCGTAGGAAAGGTTTTGCTGATGCTTCAATCCAGCTTCATTGCTTCTGCTGTTTTCCCTTCTTCTACATTAGGGATTTTGTCCAGACAAAAAGCAACTGAGGAATAACAATTCGTGTTGAGATATCTCTTTCCCCTCTTCGAGTGTAACTTTCAGATACGAGGATCCTGCTCTTTGAATACTTGCTGCCTTGATGACGGGCACTCTCAAAGGCCAGGTTGTAACCAGCATTGATAATCTGTTACTCAGAAAAGTTTCAAGGATTGCAATCAGATGTGTCAGGTGATTAACATCTTACTAGGAAGGGCTGCAATTCCATCTTACGCAGGATATGTATTGCATCCAATGCAGTAAGTGTTAAGGGCCAGATTTCACCACCCACACATTGAAATCTTGATTTGAGGCCAGATAAAAATGAATTTAAACAGCAGGATTTTGGAAGAAGCGGCTCTCTATTCAGTGTGACGATGGCAGAAATGGAGTCATAGTAGATAAATCAGGATTGTCTCTACCCTTCCCCTAGGAGACAGTGACTTGTCAGAATATCCTCCTGGAGCCTGTAGCTTTTCAGAATAAGGAGTGGGGAGGGTCACTGCTGAGTGTTAAGAGGTTCCTTCTTGTAGGATATTGCTTCGTTCTCTTTGGAATGATAATGACCTTTGGGTGGAGTTAACTTAAATCATGTGAATGACCTGTATTGGTTCATTTTATAAGGAATAATCCCAATGCTAATCATGTCATAATGAAGAGAAGCTTTATCAGTTAAGGAGACTACTAGCAATACAACATCCTTCTCTTGCTTTTCTTCCCAGCTTCACTCCTCTTTGGCTACCATAGCTTTCTTGCCAGCCTGTATAACCTAGCGTTCGTGTGTATGCTATCTCTCCATTTCTTTTCTGAAGCCTCAGGGGAAGCTTTCTCATTAGTGGCATCTTGAAACCTGAAGCTTTTTTCAGTCAGCCTCTTGTGTTAGTACAGGGTAAGGACTGTAGTTCCCACTGGCAGATCTCAGCTTATGTCCTTGTTTTAACTGCTGAGTCAGCACATAGAGGGGATGGGCCTTGACTGGCACGTGACATCATGGCTTCTCTTGTTCTCTGCACTGTGTTTTCCGTCAGGGGTTATCTTGCTGCTTCTTGACAAGTTACGGAAGATGAAATGGGAGCAGATGTGGAGACTCACGGCAGAGCGGGAGTTAATGAGCATGCTGTCCACTTCACTGGCTGACCAGGTGAGTAGGACATTGCAGACAAGTGGTACAACCACAACTCCATTGACTGAGGAAGGTAAGAGAGGGAAAGGGGATGAGATGTGGGAAAAGGTGGGGGAAAGATACTGTGACTGTAGTCACCATTTGTTGAATCGTTCTGGGGAAAACATGGAAGAGAGGAATGGAGATTTACTCCAGAGGTTTCTCTTACTACACTGGCATTTTTACCTCCTCTGCACAGATGATTCATAAGACAGACAAATGGGGTTTCCAAGCTTTAATTTTCCATCCTCCCTTCTTTAACATAAAACTCCCCAGACACTAGAAGTCCAGATACACTATGTCTTTTCCTACTGGTTATTGTCTAAGCAGACTTTAGTTTTAAGAGTCTCCAGATACTTCTTTACTGTTTCTGGCAGATGAGTCCCAGCAGTCTATTAATGTACTCCTTGCCACAACACCCCTGTGAAGACAAAAGCGCTGCTGTCTCCCTGCCACAGATGGGAAACTGAGGCCAAGAGAAGAAGTAGCGTACCTATACACAGAAATGCATATTTACTATCTTTGTGCTTCCTGCCGGCTCTCATTTTTAAATCCAGAAACCCTGATAATGTAGTACTGGACCTGAACCAGTAAGTCTTGCTCAACAGCTTGAGTGTATTAATTCAATACAACATCATATTTAGATATTTCTACTGCTTCTGAGCTGTATCTGGCTTATGACCAGTCACCACTAAGGAAGCATGCTGCTTACTGCGCACATAGAGATGTGTGCTTGTGTACAGTATCCTTGCAGGCTGATCCAAAAGCTACAGAAGTTCATTTAAATGATTCTTGCAACTTCACTGTGTTTTCCATCAGGTCCTGGGTTGCTCTCTAGTACCTGCATGGGGCAGAATTTTGCAGAGTGGACCAAGGTTGTTTATGTCTTTCTTACCCTAATACTTTAACCACAAGACTGTCCTTGTAACTTCTCCAGCTGGATGGCTGCCCAGAGGCAGAACATGTTCTGTCCCTCATGGTATAGGCTGCTCTGCAGATCTGTCCTACATGCCCTTTCTATGGAATAGCTGGAATACTTGTTACAACAACAAAGCACCAGATAAAATCCCACATAGTCATTCACCTTGAAGCAGCGCAACTGCCAGGATCACTTTCATCCCCTTTATTGAAAAGTGATGGAGTACTTACAAACAGCAGGCAGTTTGTCATTTACTGCATATTACTCTTGCTGGTGACCAAAAGAGGAACCACATCTCTTGCCAGTAGTACAAGATACACATTCTGAAAACTTGGTGGAGTCCATCAGCTCTGTGTGTCAAGAGAGACCGTTTCTCTTGTTCAGGTCTACACGTCATCTCTTAGACTGAAGGAATTCTATGGAAACAGAATTACAAAACAATGTTTGTGGAGTTCAGCTCGCATAACCATTTGCATTTCTCCCTGTGAGGGGGGAGAAGGACAGTCAGCTCGGGGAGGGGTTGAGATCACCTCACTGTAGAAACAAGGTACCCAACTGTTTCTCTGGTTTTGTCTGCTAGGATATCTTCAATGCAGTCATCAAACAAAATCCCTTCCTTGTCTACCAGCTCCCATGTTTCTGGAACGTGCAGCTGTCTGATCACACCCGTTCCGAGCAGTGCTACAGAGATGTGTCTGACCTGAAGGTATGTTTTACAGGAGCTTGGATGGGTGGTATCCTTTGCAACAGAGAATACAGGACTCTGCTGTGACGGAAAGTTGAAGTCCCTTAAGCAGTGAGGAAGCTAAGACATACGGTTTATGAGGACACCCAAGCAGGGGGAGCAAATATGACCGGCTTTGTGCATGTTGAGTGCTAGAAAAGTCAAAGAGAGATGCTGCTTTAGGGTTTGGCAAGGTGTTACAGAAGTGCTTCACCTTCTTATATTCTGTACCTGACACCTATGCCATTGCACCTTATTCCTGAGTTCCTGTTGTTGACTCTTCCTAGCCAAAGAATACAAAACTTTTCTTTTTTTTTTTTTTTTTTTTTACTGGACAAGTTTGAAACTCTTTATTCAACATGGAATGAAATTCACAAAGAGGGTTGGGTGGACCATAGCTAAAAACACATTAACCAAAATTTAAAGATGTTGCACACTTTGTATTTAGCCTTTGTGTATACTTTACCCAACCACGCTGCCACTCATTTTTCCAGTATTTGCCCTCAGAAAAAAGGCTGAGTAGAAACCCACTAATTTAATAGAATGAAGCTATAGTATCAGTTTAATAGCACATTTTTCATATAAAAGCAGAATGGATTTGAACAGGTATGGGTAAATTAACATTGATTGTGCTGTGGCCATTTTGAAAGGCCAGACTGAAATGTAGCATGCAGAGAGTTCAGAACTGAATCTGATTGAGCTTCTGCCAGGTGTAGAATGAACAGCAGTAGATTCCATCAGAGCAGACTAGTGGCATCAGAACAGAGTAAATACTATGTAGATTTTGGCAATTCATTTTAAAATTCAGTTAAGGTTCATACACTTGAAATTATATTTTAAGAATGCTTTAGTAAATGAGGTTTTAAAAAAAAAGAAGAAAAGCACAGAACCATAGAAGAGGTTGCAGGGGACCTCTGGAGACCTCTTCAGATCTGGATATCCAAACCCCACTCAAAGCAGGACCAACTTAAATCACATTGTTCAGTGCCTTGTGCAAGTTGAGTGTCAAGTCTCCAAAGACTGAGATTCCACAACCTCTGTGGCCCCTTGTTCCAGAGTTTGACCACTCTCATGGTGCAATATATTTCCTAAATCTAACCAAATTTTCCCTTGTAACAATTTGTAGAGTAACAGCAGGTGTGTTCAATATGAACACCAGATACTGGATGAATCACCCTCGACGCACTGATTTCAAAAGCTGCACTTCCCAAAAGACAGAAGATCTACTACGTGGGTTAACTGACCTGTCAAAGCTGGCCAGTATTGATTGAATATCATACATAAAGTATTCATAAGCAACTATTCAGGTGTGGTCCACAGAAGACAGCTTTTAAAGTTAGATCAGTATACCGGTCAGTACACTGATCAGTAAATGTTTTATGATAGATATTTGTAGGGCAGGCTCAACGCAGGGACTTAAAAGCACCATGCTTTTATGCCTTGTAACAAAGTGCTGGTAGAGATTTTAGTTCTGTGCTCATGTTGAGAATCATGTATGACAGCAATTTCAAGGCCTGAAACAAAAGAGGATATGTAGTAGCAGGGAAAATGTTTTCTAAAAGACGAATTTTAGAAAAATACACCTCCTACCTGGGAGATGTCACAGTTTTTTTCTGTGAATTAGAGGCTGACGTTAATTCATATAATCCACTGGGACAGCCAGACTGGATTCAGGACAAGGTTAACACACATACATTTACATGAGAAGAAGATACTGAGACTAATAACTGAGGTTCTAGGGCTTGGTTCAATTGCCTAAACACAGTTTGAGTCACCACAGATGCTCTCAGATATCTGTATGGGACTGGCAGATACAACACAGACCTACAGGATAACCCTAAGGTGCTTTCAGTGTTGCTGTGTATCTGTATTTAGGCAACTGAATTGTGAACCCCATGAGTGGTTTTGGAGACTGGTTAAGCTCATCTCAGAGTAGACACGTGATGACTAACCAGGCAAATCACTCCTTAGGCTCCAATGAGTATACTGACTAATCTGCTTCAGGTCTGGGACATCTAGCTCATATGTAACACCTACAAGTAAGCATTTAATAGAAGTATCTTAAAAATAAGTTGAATCCTTTCTTCATTGTCGATTAACAAATTTATGTTTACAAGTGTAACTTAGGCTTGGTTGTTTTTTACCATATATTGTATCCCTGTCAGTTCCATTACGGCATAGGCGATGAAGTCTAAGATGCAAAATATCCTCCATTGGCTTTCTGAGGTATTTAACTCAACAAGGGGTGCAGTCACATAAGCAATTTCTTTGGCTGAACTGGACTTATTCATGCTGCTAAAATTATCCCCTAAATACTGAATTGGGGCTGAAATTCTTTGCTTTGAAAGAGAGGCCAGAACCTTATCTAGTGCACATAAGCCCCCTGGTTTCAGTAAAGCTCTTCCCATATTCAGCAGTTAAAGAACTGGCCCTCAAGCAGCACTGTTTAAAATTCTTCATACAATTAAAAAAAAAAAAAAGCATAAACCAATTAAAGTTGTGAATTTGCATTATGAAAATTATAGTTCTGAAAAGAAACCAGCTGGTTTGGTATGTGGTCCTCTCAAAAAAGCCACAGATATTGTTAGCCCAAGTTAGAAAATACACTCTTAAAATCACCAGTTAGTCAGTTCCGTGGCATTTAATATAAATGGTATGACACAACATACTTGGCACATCCTGTATTTCATGGTAAGGCTGGAATAAGAAACGAGGTAAAGAAACCTCCAGTGTAAGAGGGAGAGAAAGACAGATTGTGAAGTTTGTACTGGAGGATTAAGAAGGAAAGCACAGGAAAGAAGGAAATGCAGGGAGGGATTTAAATTCCAAGGTAAAGCTGTCTCAGTCAAATATTCCTCAGTCAAATCAGATTGCATTCCTCATGTCAGACTGAAAAGGCACTGATTTAATTTCATCTGGCCTCAAAGTCCATGGGACTAGAGGATTTGTCATCTCTTACACACAGCATTGTGTCAAATAAACTTAGACCCCCAGGGCTGGCTGCTGTTCAGGTGTGTGTGTGTGTGTATATATATATATATATATATGTACACATGCACTTCTTTGCTGCTTCTTTCACATTTATGCAAACATAGGATGACCAGCATACTTTTTGCAGGCCTGTGGAGCACTTGAATATGTCATATTGCCTGAAGAGGATTCTAATCACTTTTTTCTCTTTATAGTCCTTATTAAGTTGCAATCTCTATCCATTTTATTGATTTTTTTTTTTTTGTACCGTCTTATGTTAGAGAAGGTCAGATGTTTGACTACTGCTGAACTCTACTACCTTGCTGCAGCTGAGCAGCATATACAAATTTGGAAGGACTTGCATATGGGGATCTTTCAGAGTGACCGCTAATTTTATATCCACCTAAAGCAACATCAAAATAAGACTACTTTATTATTTTTATTCATCTAAATGCTTACTTACCTCCTGTGTCATACTATATAGCGTTAGAGGCCACACTGTACGCAACTAGGCTGAAGTCTGTGGGTTTGTTCTGCTGTCCATGGCGTATGGAAGCAAAACTTATATAAACAATTACACTTACAGAAATCTTCCTTTCCCCACCCCGAGGGCACGTGTATTAACGATCCTTTGCATCAGTCAAGAAGGTCTTGAAATGAACAATTTTAACAGAAAGCTAAGGGTGGGCCAAGAGGAAGCAGATGCCCTTTAATTCTTTTTGCCAAGTGAGCCAACTGCAGTCCCTAAAGGCCAGAGGTGTTTATTTTTGCATGCCATTTGTTACACCTCGGGAGAAACACTCAGGAGTTGTTAATGAAGACTGGCCAAAAGATGTGGAAGTGCTAATAGTCATTCTGTGTAGGCATCCGCTGTCTGTCTTGCTTATCTCAGCTCCTCACATGGTCCCCAGTAGCGCACAGTGTCAATGGACAAGCGTGTGTGCTGTAGGACCATGCCTTGCTGGGCTTCAAAGCGTGGCGATCTGCCTGGAACCGAGGTTCATTTATACATTACTTTTGCTGGGTTGGGCCCTGTGTTTGCTTTCCTTTTTGGTTAATAGTTTGTTCCTGCCTGTAAGGAAATCTCAATTACTATCATTTGGCACAAACCAAATGGCAAGAAAAAAAATCCTGTGAAAGAAGGTAATGAATTGTGATGCCTCTGACAATGAATCATGACCTCATTGAATGAGTCAGTCATGAAGAGAAGTCTGGTTGTCAAGGATACCGATGCTATTTACACACAGGGAATCTGGTAATTCACAATCACAAAAATCAGATGCTCGACTCTTACAGTGGGGAATGTATCAAATTATTAGAATTTCCCTCCACACCTCAAAATAGGAAAATGCTTTAAAACCTGTTAATTGCTTTTCAAACTGGTTCTGAACAAAGCTGATACTAAATTAGCAGGTAGATAAGTAATTAACCTCATAAACGCCCCATTCTGAAATTTTGTTATGTGATTCACTGTGTCTTCCCTGGGAACATCCTCCACACTGGGACAACTTTGTCTGGTGGCTTACAAAAGTTTAAACAGCTTCTTGTCCATAACCCGAATACATCGTTTCAGATCTGCCTCAAACATGAGCTGTTGTACCTCTTTCTGTCCCAGAGCCACCCTATGCTGTCCAAGCACCTCAACACTGATCTGTAGCAGTTCTGGCCCTCTGCTGCCTTGCACTTTTTAATGCCAAGAAAGGAAGAGCTACACTGAGAGGAGTAAGGGCTGATGAGGGCTAAACATACCCCGGCCTTGCATGAACATTGGAGTCAGGAAGGTGCTTCTGAGCTCTGCCCAAAAGGGAGCACTGTGAGTTATAGAGGTGGGTTTAGGGGTGGTTTTGCAGGCAGGAGGCCTCTCATTAAACACTGGAGTTGAAGGGAGAGCTGCAAATACTTTTGAGGAAAAATTGAGAATTTTGAAAAGTACAAGACAGGGGCGGTCTGTCAGCTTACGGCCATGCAGCGTGGGCAGTAAGCTGAGGAGTAAAGTAATCCCTGGGACCATGGGCACCAAATCAGGCAGGGCAGGGATTTGAATCCCACATCCAAAAGCAGTGCCTGGACCTCTGGGTTGCTGGCTACTCCAACATGAGTCTCTTCCACTTGCGTAGTTCAGAAATATCACTCTGAAACCTCCCTGATGACATTTTTGTGAAGTATTTGATCCTTTCTGAGGAAATTGGTTCTTTTATTAAACCCTTCATTTCTATAAAACGCAATTTAAAAATAAAGTTTCCAGACATCTCTAATTGAGGCATAAGTTACACTTGTGATGCTTGTTTGCAGTGTGGCTTGGGGCATATTTAAACTTCTCAGTAATATGTGCCCGAAAAAAAGCCTATTGAGGTGGTATTAAAGCAGCATATATAGGTGGCTTTACTGTGTGGATTTGTTGAACGTTTAACTCCTGTTGATCTCAGTGGGAACTGTCTGGTTGCCTAAACAAGGAGTCTAGTTTTTAAGCAGAAAAGCTCCCATCTTCAAAATACCACTTTTATTTAAATTTACTAAATTGTGATGTGCTCATGGGCTTGAGTAAAAATATCTGTTCAATGCTTTGCAAAATTAAACTTCTTTAGGCTTAAATTTAAGCTTAATTTATTCTTACTTTTTACCCCTTCAGCCTGGAAAGTAGGTATATAGTTATGCAGGATATCCTGTATTCTCTGATTTTGTAAGGGCTGAAGCAGAGTGAGAAATTATAAGATGTGTCTTTGGGTAAAAAATGGAAGAGACTGTGGTTAAGGAAACATTTGGCCAAATACTTCTTTTGGAGAGAGAAGGTGCTTCAGGGGAAAAATGGATAAAGGTGCCTGTAGAAATAATGTTGTGTCGAAGCTTATCATTTAGTGGTTTGAACATCGGATTTGAAATGTTTAATCTCCCCAGAGAGGACAACACAGCTGGTAACCTAAGGAGGTTTGCTGGGTTTTTTGGTTTCAGTGTATTTCCGTGCAGATAACAGACCTCAGAGCCCTTCTTCTCCTACACTCCACCAGCGTATAACATCCTCAGTTACCTTCCGTCTCAGATCCCTTTGCCAGTCTATGAGGCTCCAACTGTGTTGTCATTTGAGCGCTTTGGGTCAGAATGTGGTGAATAAATGGGAACTACTGGTGCAGTTAGCCTGTCTCACTAGGTGACCAAGTGTGTGGAAGTATTCCAGGAGGCTGGCTGAGTGTAGTCAGTGAGTGGTAACGGATGCTGATTAACTAGGATGGTATTAACAGAAACGCAGATAGTGCCAAGTTGCTTAATGAGGACTAACCAAGTGTTAAATAGATGTGGAATTTTAAGTTCTGATCTTTCGGTACGTAAATTGCTAAGTGAAGATTAAGGAGCGTATTTTTCTTAGTTCTCGGGAGGCCTTGATGAAGTCTGGAAAGGATCTGTGGGACAGCCTGAAGGCTAGCACTGTTCCTGAGGTGTCCACCCAGATGATGGCACTGGAATTTTGTATGTTCTAGCTGCAGTTTCCTCTGTAAGCCAACAGAGCTTTGGAATAGCTTAGAAACTAGGAGGGAAAATAGAAATGAACACAGTATTATGGTGCTATTCAGTCTTGGAAAGGGGATGTTCTGATGAGATTTTTAGTTTCTAAGTTCACTTTCTCTTTTTAATGTTGAGATAACACTTGCTCGGTCTGCAAAGAAAGTGGATTCTAAGTTTGACTTCTTTTTCATCCGATTTCCCTGTAGTTTCTTTCCAACTGATTTTATTTCCTCCAATCAATTCACTGTTGCCCACAATAAAGTTCCTAACATAATGGCCTCAGCTTTACCTGTGCCGCCTGTTGTCTTCATCGTGCCTCCCTGACGATGTCTTGGCCTGTACAACTTCTGCTGTAACTGATGGTGCAGTAGACCAAATCAGACAGCTACAGTCAGACCTGAAGGTGAATTTGTGGGCTGACAGCAAAAAAAAGAATATGGTCTTTGGATATAGTGGTTTATGTCAGTGGTTAAGAGTTTTGTTGCTTTTTGAAACCTGCTGTTCTTTTTTATGCTTTCATATATCACACAGTATTTATCTAATCATGTCACATTTGAAAAGCAGCCTGCTTTTTCGCTAGACCTGTTTTGTGGTTTTCCTACCTCAGGACATCCAGATGGTTGCATAGTTCCTTGATGTTCTTTAGTTGCATTGGCGTGTGCTGTCTTTCTTGATTAAAAAATCAGCTTTTCTGGATAGTCATCAGCTCCATTCAGCTTTCTTCAGTTCATGCTGGGCTCCCCTGACATCTGTCTGCATGCAGCATCCTGACACGTTTCAGGTCTGATCAGATCTGAACCACCAGCTAGGCCCTTGACACTTTCCAGCTTTTACACACGCAACAGATTTTGAAGCACGGCAGCACAGAGCCTCTGCGATGACAACGGCAGTTGTCTGGCTTTGACATCATCCCCTACGCAACTGGATAGAGGCATCCACAGCAGTACTTGGCTGTGATGTGACAGAGCGTATGTCGGTGGGAAAGTCCTGCAGCACCAGGGAGCCTGTCCCGTTGCAGTTATGGCATTTATCATCTTTAGCCATTTCTGTGCTCATGGTCCCCAGGTCAGAGTGCTCAGCAGGGGGATAGGGTGCTCGTGAAGACATCCAAAAGGAAACTCGCATGAAGTGTAGGAGTAGTAGGGAGAACAACCAGAAGATTTTTTTCTTAGCAAGTATTTTTTATCCCATTTGCCAGCTTCTCAGCTTTCTTTGATCCACTCTTAAATAAACAGCAGAGAGTTTCCATTCTATGCCTGCTTGTAAAAATGCCTACTAGTACCCCGTAAAACTGTTAAGCAGCCCTTTAGGCTCCTTCAGCCCTGTGCTTCTGTTACGTGTGCCTGTTTCCCTGAGGTAGGATTCAGTTGTTGAGGGTTTTTGCATGCATTTAATGCCTTTTGCTGCAGTTAAATGCAATGGATGAAATATGTCAAGTTCTTTTCAAGGAAAGGAGATTCTGAAGGTCCATTTTCCAGTGGAGAAAATCTGTCATCTTAAGTTTATGTTCCAACCTACCTAAAGCTCCTTTTGTTTCTGTGGTGTTCTGTATTTTCAGCACAGGTTGCAGCAACATGTTATTGCACAGTTGAGCCACTGTTCCGAGCATATGGACAAATGTAAAACCAGCAAAGAATGTAGCATTACCTGGGAAAAATACCTACGCTAAGTATTTTTGTGCAAATAATTTCCCAGATTTATACAGTGCGTAGATGCATCATGATCTTGATTTAAAGTGTCCCTATAACTGGAAAAAATGATTTGCCCATTTCTGAAATGATTTTTTTCCCTACAGTTGCTTTCCTGTAACTGCACGTATGGTTTTCTGATCCCCTAGTAGCCTCGGCAGTGAAATCAGAGGAAGGGATAAAGCTTTCCCTATTAGGAGATATTTTCATTGGTGTTGGGTATGTAGAAGAGACTTCCATAGCTTTCATGGCAGTATAAACACTCAGTGGAGAGACTATGCTGTTTGCTGAAGTTAGTCCAGGAAGAATTCAGGCTACATCCCGCTCTTTCCACCTCCGGTCCACTCGTTCGGCAAGAGGGCACGTGATTTCAGAGGGGTCCCTGTTCCTGCGGAGTTGTGTTGCTGACACCAAGGGAACGGCGTTCATCTGCTCCAGGCTGCTTCTTTCTGTTCTCCGTGCCACACCGCAGCTCTGTGTGTTCCCTCTCACAAATGCCACGCTCAGAGCAAAGCTTACCATCCGAGCAGCTCGGCAGCTGGCGTGGCGGCTCCATGGCTGTGTGTGAGTGACACGGTGCCTTCACGCAATTAACTTAATGGATTCAGAGAACCTCCAGAACTCCTAGCTTGCAAATATTCCCAATGGAGACCTTTTTTTTTTTTTTTTTTTAATCTCTTTAGAAGCCACAGGAATAAAACTGAATACAAAGCATTTGGTGGGTTTTTTTCCCTTATGCCTAAAATATAGCCTCTATAAAATTAAATCATTCCTGCAAGGCACTTTGGCTCCCGCGAGGCACTTTTGGCTCCCTCGTAGTTTTTCCTTGGGGCCCCATTCTTGTTCACACTGGCAGCAGTGCAAAGTTGCCTTGATGTAAATGAGAATCAGGCCCTTTATGTTAGCATTAGAGTTAAATCTAGGCCAGTGTGAGAGTCATCTCCCATTAGCAGAGGCTAAATACCTGCTAGAAATTGGAATTCAAAGGGTGAAGCATTGTACTGCATCACTGTGTTCTGTAACGCAACTGAGATCAGTCTGGTTTAAATGAAGCAATGGCAAAAAGGAAGTCAGATTAAATCCAGTCCTTTTTGAAGGGTGTAAATGGGCATAGGAATTAATTTCAAGGTTTTTTTCTCAATACCTCACCAGAGAAGAGTCTGCCTGGCCTGAGACAGTGAAGCAATTTCATTAGCTGAAAGAGTCAGGTAGAAATCTGAGATTAATGTTTAATACCTACATCCCTGTGTCCGTCGTCCTGCCACCTTCTTCTACAGAGTCCATAACCGATCGGGTCCGTGATTAGAGCTGTTGCAGCATTTATGGGGTGCTGCAGCACAAACCAGAGCAGCACCCTAACTCAAATACGCAGGTTATCCTATGGAGGAGTTTCCAAGCACATCACCTGCAGTTACTTGTGAAAGACGTGGCAAAGCCTTCCTGATAAAAAGACAGAAGGAAGTCCTTGTGGTTTGGGGGTTGGGTTTTTGGGTTTTTTTGTTTTTAAGAGGGCAGTGAACTAAACACAGATAAAAAGAGCAGATAAAGCAAATCTGTATTCTAACAGCAGGATGCATTTTCTCTTTTTTTTTCCCTCTGAGGTGATTCACTGGAACTCACCAAAGAAGCTGCGAGTGAAAAACAAGCACGTGGAGTTTTTCCGCAACCTCTACCTGACATTCCTGGAATACGATGGGAATTTGCTGAGACGGGAACTCTTCGGCTGCCCCAGTGAGGCGGATGTTAACAGTGAAAATGTAAGTAAGTGGGGTGTCTAGGGCTTGAGGATCGAAAGGGTGTTTCCTACAAGGCACGGGCTACGTGAAGACTTGGAGAGTTGGTGGCGTGGGTAGCGCAGTGCAGAGGGAACCAGGAGAGGTGAGGTCAGTGCTCAGATTCCAAGAGCAACGCTGTGCAAATTATTTAATCTCTCTGTGCTTCAGTTCCTTGCCTGTGAAACTGTTGTATTAATCCTGCCTTTCCCCTGGGTTTTGTTGCTTTTTTTTTTGGCTGCCTTGCCTTTTAAAAATCCCCAATAAAGGTAAGATCACAAACTGAAAATGAGGATTTGGGCTTTTAATTCCATTAGGCACTTCTGCAAATCTCCCCCTTAGACCTAAAACTTTCCAGGAGAAGGGCTTGTTTCTTGCTGTGTGTTTGTTCAGTGTACAGTGATGTCAGTTGTGGCTGGCAGATACTAAGGTACAAGTAATGAAGAAGAAATGAAAATATCAAGACTGCTGGATTTAGGTCTGTGAGTTTCTGCCATGCTGCAAACTACAGAATGAGTTCATACTTGAAGGTACACAGGCTGTGAGACTGTGGGGTTTTTTTCTGCACCGCCCCTAACCAAACACAGCAGCATTTATGTGTATCTGTGTAAAATTTGCAATCAGATCTTTTCAGATGAAGCAATCCTTCGAAAATGGCTGAAATCAAGGATGTTTACATACAGATGTTCTTGTGTGTGTGTGCGTGCCTTAGTACATGTGGTTCCAGTGTAAAAAACTGTTAATCAAAACATTTATACACAGATGTATATGAACTCCTTGTATATAATGTGGTCTCTGGAGGTTTCTAGACCAAGTATAAGTTTTGACTACGTAGTCTGAAAGGAAATAAAGAGGAACCTGTAACATTTATGTTATCTTCAAGAAAAAAAATCTGAAACATACAACATTCTCTATATAAAAATCAATAAAGCAAAGACAGTATCATGTACACATTAGCAGTTAAGAGGTAATAGGCAATCAATAGCATCATTGAGGCTTGTAGTGTTTCCATTTAGCCTGTGGATAAAATGACCACAGGAGATGCCGTTCTCAATTTTTTAACTATAGCACTCAGAGATTGGATAGATATATTTTAGCCCGAGGCACGGCTTCCCAGATGCTTATTTGACCATCTCGCTGTCTTCTGAAAGGAGCAGGGAACGATGAGAAACTGGACATAAACATTAACTGGGAGAGGCTGAAGCAGGGGTATGAGAGAGAGAGAGAGAGAAAGCGAGCGCACAGTGAGAGCAAAAGCACATGGAGAAAGAGAATCCTCTGCAAGAGTGAGAGGCTTTTAGGCAATCGAGTGAACTGAATGTGATAAAAGACCACTAAGAGTCTGAGAGTCAGAGACATCAAGGTACAATAGATGGAGTAGAGGATACGATAGGGAGAGAAAGGGGGAGTGAGACATTAAAAAAAAAAAAAAGACAACGGAACAAAACAGACCTTCATCCCTCTTTAAGAATGTAGGTTAAAATTATACTGAATTCACAATATGTTGTGTGGGTTCGAAGAGCACGAATGCAGTCACAGACCTGTTGCTCTATTTTCCAGAGCTCTATTAATCCTTAATAAACAGATTTATTCCAGATGACAAGTTGCTGGGGAGCAGTGCACAGCAAATGCAAGTTCTTGCTGCTGAAAATGGCAGTCCCAAAAGTTTAAAATGGCTCGTGTTACTGAACTTGTATCTAGTTGACAGACACTGGAAATGACTAACTGTTCAAGCCTGTTTCTTATTCAAGACAAGTAGAACGCAATATGGTATATGGTATGGCTCATGTCTGAAAAAGAAATGTAACTCATTCTTCCATTTATAAATTTTAAAAAAAGAGATACTGGAAAAGAATGAGCTAGACATGCAAAAATACATGAGTCCTAACTTGCCAAGAGACACCAAAAAGTTAACAGCCTTCTATCAAAACAGATAGAGAAAAAAACCTAACTTTGGATAGCTTAAGAGTAGTCACTTAGCAAAGACATTGGTTTTTATTAGTTACCCTTGGCGTAAGCTCCCCTCTAAACTTGACTATGTCCTTTTTATTGTAGAATACAAAAACCAAGTTTCAGCTTTGAAGCTATGAGACCCTAAGAATAGGATTATCATGAACCACTCTTTCTCTGTCTGCTGTAGTACATACAGCGTCACAGGCATCCTGTTAAAATACAGTACATTCCCACAATCTATTGCAGGATAATCTTCGGAAGTGGAGCATCTTGTAAGGTGAGCGAGGAGCCACTGTTTGTCATTCCTCCCAGTACAAGAACTAGGGGGCCTGACGTGGAAATAGCAAGTAGCGGGTTCAAAA